TTCCTAAAACGTATAACTTAACAAAATTAAAGATGATTAAAATCTGTAATCTTTCCACTTGTACTGTATGTCATCGGAAAATACAAGAAGTTTCTGCTTTGTGTAAGGATGGTATCAAAAAGGAAAAATACAAGAAGTTTCTGCTTTGTGTAAGGATGGTATCAAAAAGTAATCTAAGTGGTGAGAAAGCTGTGCTCAATGTATTTAAGGGACTTAAAAGTAAAAGGACATGCTTCATATTGCTTGACTAATTTTAAAAACTGTTATAAATGCAGACGCTCCCTCGGTGCCGCGCCGGGTGTAAATATCTAAATATACATTCGCCCCGGGTAGAGGCCGAAGAGCGCCCGGCTGGGGTGCGCAGGGAAGAGCAGGACAGGAGTGAAAGTGGTCAGGGCGGGGTTTAGGAAGGCCGCCGACCAGTGCGGCTGTCCCACAGTTAAGCGGGCGTACAGTCTGGGCAGGTATAGATTACACTTTTCTAAAATGTATTTGAAAAATAAAAAAGATTACAATCTAATCCTTCCAGGTTTGATCCCAAAATCCCAAGAAAAATAAATCTAAACGGAGAAAGCTATGCTGAAAGTGTATTAAGATACTTAGAAGACAAAGATACTGTATCAATTTATGTTGCATTTGTCTGATTATGATTAAAAAAAACACATAAAATTAAACACGCGTTTGCGATTTAAATCAAAACACGATTTAAATCAATATAAATGTTTATATTGTAATGCATACTGTCCAGCCTCCATTTCTCTATAAAAATTTACTCCATTACAAATTTACAATTTGTTGATAATAGAAATGTTAGGTTCTCTAAAGCTTTGTGATGGTTGACCCACCCAGGCAGCACAAGATCAGCTGCACTGGTAAGATGCAACACTGAAGATATGATAATAACCTTTTAAATCTGAATGGAGATCTGAAGGGATCCCCCCACACACACACAATAGAAGCAGGAAGCAGAAGCAGGGACCGTTGTCAGAAGGGAAGAAGGTGACTATTCATTGTTATCAAAAATGACTAAGATTCGATCATGTTGTGATATTTTGAAAAATAAAAGTCAATTGATTGTCCATAATATCCCTATTCTATTTTTTCGAAGAAATGTTTGTTAAAAGAAAAGTCCAGCACCAGCTGGATTTGAACACACAACCCGTGAGTTGATAATCGGGCACATAGACCAGTGGGCTACAAGGGAAGTCGCATGAAGAGAGAGGCGAAACAGCCCTGCACAGCCCTGTCCCAGTACACGAATATAATCATATTGTTATTAAATTCTTTAGATACGCGATTCCATATTATATTAGCAGAAAAGTTTAAAACTGCCACTTTTTCACATGCTATTTCACATGCTAGTTAAATACTTCGATGCTTAAAATCGTTAGGGAGAAATGGAATACCGGTGTGTATTTTTCCTTTAAAGTACCGATTCATGGAATCTGACTGGCTGACACCCTTCTGAAGTGGGTCCATAAAATCTGGTATACGGAAAAGAAAGCGTTGATAAAAAAGCCTGGATTCTCATGTATCTCATACAAGTATCTTTTAATACAGTCTTTGCTGTGCACATGAGGATCCTTGTGATATTTTGAGCTCTACTTGAATGATAAGTGTCGCATTTTAAATCATTTTCGTTGTTAGAAATTATGAAACACCCTGTTAAAAGCAAGGGAGTTTTTATGCCCGTTGAAGTAAAACAAAATGCCTGACAAAGTATTGCTTGGACAGATTCCAAGTGCTTGTACAAATGTGCTAAAGAAATTATACTTTGAGTATACAGCTTGTCCAAAGTCATTCATTATTAATACTATTAGTGATAGCTTCGGTAAAGGCTTTGATGCATAAATATTTCTGATAAAGGTAGGTTGTGTACTTTTGCCCAACTAAGCAATCTTGCTTTCATAAAATATACCAACATTTTAATGACTGATGATTAACATGCTGTAATACACAGTTTAAATTTAAAAGCTCAAATACTGTACATGAGAGGTTAAGCTTTATTGGCTCCTCCTGGCGGTTTTACAAGGTGATGCAGTATACTTTCCGGAATGACGTCAAATGACGCGATTAACCCCGTAATACTGCGACACGCCCACTTTGAATGGCTGCATCTGTACCACCATCTTGTGGAATAAGAAGAAAATTACAAAAATTGTGCTTGCTTACCACAATGGGCCTCATCGGAGGCATCCAGGCAGTCTAAGTGGCCATTACAAATGCTCCCAGTGGAAATACACTGTCCATTGGAACACTGCTGGAATCCTGGACCACAGGGCTCTGAGAATAAACCAACAGAAAACAGCTTCTAATTCAAATCTGAAATAAACACCACTTGAATGGCTTCATTCAGGTTTTTAAAAGTTTGATATAACATTTGTCCCCCTTTTAAGATTTGTTAAAGCAGTAAATTCATTTTTTAAAATAATTATTTTTCTTTTTATTAGCTTTTGCTTTTCCATTTGGCACTTTGTATGTCTTTTTGAGCTTATGTAAAATATTACATTTCAGAACTTTTAAAACCTGAATAAACTTAAATAAATGTGCTGCATTCTAGGAAAATGTGAATCACAGAAGGAAAATGAGAATTATTAGCATTCAATAAACTATTGTGTAAACATCAATTCCTCAATATTGTTTTTAAACCATTCATTTACATTTTTTGGAGCAGGATTAAAAGGTGCAAATGAGCAGTTTATGTAAAAACTATTACGTAACATACCATTTTTATTTCCTTAATAACAGGTAACAGGTAGTCAACCCTGCTCCTGTCTTTTCTGACTTTTCTTCCAGGAAGATCTCTTTACTTCCGGACAAGAATGTAATGTCAGAGCTATTGATATCATTTTTTTGTTTGAGTTATACAGTACTTTCCAGTTTGTTTTTGGTTCTTAAAAGATTGAATGAGTTTTGCAATTGGCATCAATCACTCCCTTAGTGTCAGAAATTAATTTTCCTGAAATATAACCATATGTATCACTACAGAAGGACATTGTGGGAGTGTCTGATAAAAGTGAATAAGAATCTGTCTGTTCATCATAAATTGATTTCCTGTCAACAGCTATTAGTCTACAATATGGGTGCAAATTCAAAGATAAAGGTGAATAGAGACTGTAGTCAAAGCAAACAAAACAATTAAAGTAAACTGCCATACACAGATGGGTATAGGGAGCTAAACATTCTTCAATGTAGAGCAAAAGAGATAGAGAAGTGATTTGATTCAAGTGTATAAGATCCTCTAGAGAGTATCACCCCAAGGGACTATTTAACATCCAGTGGTGAATCAACGATACAGAGTTACAATCAGAAACTCAAAGGGAATTGATTTAGCATAGAGAATTCTTTACACAAAAAGTAGCAGGTATTGGGAACAGACTTCTCAGCTAGGTGGTTGAGGCCCTAGCTGACAGCTTCGACTGTCTAATGACTGGACACTTAAAATGACAGCTTTGCGATATTTTAGTCTTTAAGTCATTTAAGACATTTATTGCACTTTTTATTGCAAGTTCTTCTGTAAAAGAAAAAGTCAACACCAATGATAAATACAGTTCAGTTTTAATAAAATTCACCAGACATGAGTGTTTCCTACCATTAGAACTGCATATCACTGCCTTATATATATATAATAAGCCCTTTCAGACAGAGTGGGTTTTTACCTTGCCTCTAAATGAAATTTGAACAGTAATTGTTTGCTAAATTGAAAATTATACTTAATTCATACATTTTGTTAGTCAGCACAGATCCTTTGCAAGTGTAATGGGTCATCTGAAATCAGTAATTATGATAAACTATTCTGACCACTTTCTCAATGGAGTCAATAAGAAAATCAACCAAGAATGTAATTCTGCTTAGTTTACAGGTAAATTATTTAGAGGTAAGATATCAGGTCTGATCTGTCTCAAAGGGTCCAGTTGATTTGGAGACAGTTGGCAACACTACGATTATCTTTGCTAGTCCCCAGTTATACAGCTTGGTGTACTTAACACCTCACACTTATTTTCCACTTTTCTTTGTCCTCAACAAACATTATAACATATTTAATTGACTGTCAATTAATTATTTATCAATTATTTTATCATTTCACACATGCACACACATTAATTTTACTAATGTTATGATGGTTATGATTTCTCTTCTGAAAATGCCCTTACCAGGTCTGCCAAGATGAGTGCCTGTGGTGAAATTAGCATGGAATCCCTTCCTGGTTCTTGATTTGTTGGTTACAAAGAGTACTGTCATGTGATTGTTTGTAGAGAACAGGTCAACAAATGGTCCTCTTCCTGTATAAACATCTGACAATAAATGAGATATTATGTCATTATATATTTAAAAGATTCTAAAAAGGTAACAAATGAGAGTAGGCCATTCAGCACAACTAGAGAAGTACAGATGCAGCCATTCAAATTGCGTGGTACAAACCCGTACTGCGCACAACTACCTATGTCATACCACGGTACGTGATTGGCTGGCCAAAATGACCGACAGGGGCACTCATGGTGCATTGGTCATTAGTGGAAAGATTTAATCATTTAATCTCTTTAGTTTGCACGTTTTAATCCGCTTAATATTGAAAATTTATATGACATTTTACAACTAAAGGGAAATTTTAGTAGCTGAGCATAAATAGAAGAGGAGCATAATGCATCTGATGATCATAAACTATATTAATTTAGGAACATACAATCATGCAAACTGTATATTGTACACTGTATATGGTCTTGGTAGTTTAAAGAAAAAATACACACCAGTATTCCACTTTTTCCCTGAGCATTTTAAGCATCAAAGTCTGACGTGGTTATTTCAGAAACGTTTTTACGTGCTCCTTCTGACCATATTACTTTTATACACTTTGTGAAAAGTGATAGTTTTAACCTTTATTGCAAATACGCTTGCTATCGGAGTAAACAAAAGCATACTTTTAGAACTTGATTAATAGGGAATATAATATGGAATCGGGTATCTAAAGAAATTAATAACAATATAATTATATTCATATACTGTAGCTCAAACAGTAGTATAAGACTATCTATTGATATGTGAATGGCGGTTTTAGTGCTTTTCATGAGACCGTCTAGCTATTGCCATGAGTTTTCTTTAAAAAAATAAACATCTCTTTGAAAAATTAAAATAGCAAAAATTATGGACACTATATAGACATTTTTTATATTTTTATATGTTTTATAACATGTATGAAGCTAAGCCATGTATTCATAACAACAATTAATTTTGAACTGCTAATGATATTATTACTGACAATAAATATTATCGACACTATATTGAATTTGTTGGTCTTTCTAAATATCACAAAACATTCAAAGTTAAGTGATTAACATTTTCCATGAATACTTGTGCTCGTTATCATAGTAAAAAAAATCATACTTTTCAGAATCTAATTATTTAAGCAATAAGTCACAAGAATCTGTGCTATATCGTAGATATAGTCACAGTTACAAGGTGTTTTAACTGTGACTATATCCATGACATACAGATGCAGCCATTCAAAACACGTGGGGTACACCACGGTACGAGTTGTAATGCGTCATTTGACGTCATACAAAAAAAAAATATCCGAAATCACCTTGTAAAACTGCCAGGAGGAGCCAATAAAGCTTAACCTCTCATGTACAGCATTTGGGCTTTTAAATTTAAACTGTGTATTACAGCATGTTAGTCATCAGTCATTAAAAAGTTGGTATATTTTATGAAAGAAAGATTGCTCAGTTGGGCAAAAGTACACAACCTGCCTTTATCATAAATATTTTAAGTATGCAGAAATATTTTATGCATCAAAGCCTTTACCGAAGATATCACTAATAGTATTAATAATGAATGACCTTGGACAAGCTGTAAACTCAGAGTATTACGCTGGTCCACATTCTTTCTAACCGTCATTTTAAATGAAAATACTTTATTTTTTAATCGACAAAAAGTAACACCACATTATTTCGTTGATCTAACTAACAAGGACAGGACGTTAGCAAGCCAATATGATAAAGGAATAAATGACTTTTTTTGTTTATTTCTTTAGCACATTTATTTGAACATTTCCATCGATTGAAAAAGCACTAAAAATTCCAGGCTCTGCATATATTAGAAAATATAGGACTTCTTTGAATGTGTGTCAGGCAACAAGATTTCAGGAACGGAATTATCCATTTTATAATAGGAAATATAGTATGGAATCGTGTATCTAAAGAAATTAATAATTATATTAATTTAAGGATCTAAATATCTATAAATATGTATCTATATAGCAGGTAGTATTACTGTATTCCACTTTCTTTGTAAACATGGAAAAACAGATTCACAACGGGAAGCTGTGTCACTCTTCTGTGTAAAAAATGTTTTTAATAAGATGCTTAGAATAGGAATGTTCCTGCTGTCAGTCTTAACATAAACATATTATGTAAACTATACTGTATATTGCTGGTCTTGTTAGTTTAAAGAAAAAATACACACCAGTATTCCATTTCTCCCTAAACATTTTAACAATCAAAGTCTTTCATGTGGTTATTTCGGAAATGTTTTACGTGCTCCTTCTGAGCATGTTACTGTTTACTGTTCCTGACTATATTACCTGCCCTGGTGGACTGTCTTTAATAAGAAGGTTAGCCTATTCTACTCTGAGAATGTAGAGGGGGTGGAAAGTGCCCACAGTCATTTAATTAGCATTACAATACACACTGATTCCCTTGTGAAGATATAGACATCAGAATATTCGTGCGTGGTCAAAAAAATGGCATTAAGCACTTAAAATTAATATGGTCAGTAACATGCTGTAACAAGATCAGCTAAACTGGGAAGAAAACGCTTTCCGAGAAAATGTTTTAGATGTGAAGAACATAGATCCCCAATGCAATTTCAACCAAACCTGTTCCCACACACCCTGCCCCCACTGCAATTAGAATATACACAAAGCACTGAAATCTTTTGAGATGATGATCAGGTGTTTCCGTCAACACCTTCCAGCAGCACTCCCATGCCCAGACGAGAGAGAGACACAAGACAAGCCCACCAAGACCACGAGTGAGCCAGAGCCAGAGAGAGTAACACCAAGGGGTGCGGAACCAGGGAACTATTTACATGGAAAACGGGCAATCTCCCCAGACTGTACACCAGTTTCATTGTTATCTGGATACCTCTTTATCCAGGTAACAGTTTCAGAACTTCCCCCGCCTGTCTGACTTTTTTTAACCCTTCTGTGCCTGGATTGCAACGGGTAAGATATTTTTCCAAGAAAAAACAGAAAAATTTCACCAGAGCCTCTTCTCTTCTTGTGTCTAATTTTTAGTTTAGAAGGATTCAAGCAGGATTTTAGATGAAAGGGAGCGACCTCAATCAAGCCCAAAACATAATTGAACCTGTTCAGAGCCTACATTACATTTTAGCATTTCATGTTGAGCAGAAGACTCTCACACCTGAAGAAGGCTTGCATTTTCTCTATTTTCTTTTAAGCATGTGTACAATGCTGTAATACAGTTTAAAATAATTAAAAGTTTAAACAGTATCAACTTAACTCCATTAATATAAGTATCGAGTGGTATTAAATAAATACAGCTTTTTAGAATAGATTACACTTTTCTAAAATGTATTTAAAAAATAAAAACGCATGTAATTAAACGTGTTTGCAATTTAAATCAAAATGGGGGTAACGGGGACACCCTCTCTCTTATTATCAACACTAGTTGATTGTGGTTCTTCTCAGATACTGTAGTTGGGCATTCAGGTACATTGCCAGGAGAAATAAAAACAGATTTTGATAGTTAATAACCACTTTTTATGCGCGAAATACGGGAGATTTGTCTTCCTCCTGATCAGCTTAGAAATCTGTGTACGCTGTAAAGTTTTTACTTCTTAATTAAACGTTTAAAATACACGTTTCGAATAGAAAAAAAAATCTTCTGTTGTCTTCCTGGAATGTAGAACAGATCAGCAGGTCTTTGATGCTAAAACTTTGATGCTTAAAATTTTTAGGGAGAAATGGAAGACTGGTGTGTATTTTTTTTAACTACCAAGACCAGCCACATACAGTACAGTTTACATACAGTAATATGTTTATGTTCCCAAATTAATATCATTTATGACCTTCAGATGCGTTATGCGTTATTTTTATGCTCAGCTACTAAAATTTTACCACTAAAGGGAAATTTCATATAAATATTCAATACTAAGCAGATTAAAATGTGCACAGTAAAGACATTAAATGATTAAATCTTTTCAGGACTGACCAACGCACCACGAGTGCCCCTGTCGGTCATTTTGGCCAGCCAATCACGTACCGCGGTGGCACACGCGTAGTTGCCCGCAGTACGGGTTTTTACCTTGCATTTTGAATGGCTGCATCTGTAGCACAGGCCTCAAGTGCCATGTTGCTTTTATAAAACGGTCCCCAAATATGCAAGTGCTGTATAGAATGAATTTTAATTTTAAAAAATTATTTAACATGAAAATTAAGATGTTTACGTTCCTCCGCCTGTGAATATAGTCCCTCGTTGCTACACAACACAGAAACACAGCCACAAGTACCATTAGCTAGCAAAAAGGACAGCAATTGGGAAAAAAAGACCTGCTGATTTGTTCTACATACCAGTAAGAGAACAGAATATGATTTATCTCTGTTTGAAATGTGTTTTGTGAAATAAATATATTTTAAACTTTTAATTAAGAAGAATAAAACTAACAGCATACACAAACATTCAAAGCTGATCACAAGGAAGAAAGATCACCCATTTTTTGCACATAAAAAGTGGTTATTAACTATCTAAACCTGTTTTTATAGCTCTTAAAATCATGCAATATCTAAGTTAAGCAGGAACATGTCATTATATCTCATTTTTTATTTATTTTTTTAAAACTTAAAAAATTGTTTGCCCATAGGTCCTTCCTATTCATACGAAAGGCAGTGACATCACGACGCTGGCAAGCCCTCAGTCACCTGACCAGCGGATCGCTGCATATGAGAGACAGTTTAGCTTCTGGGAAATAAATTTTCCTCCATTAAATTTTAACTCGTTTAAAGTGTTTAAAATGTATAATTAAAAAGTAAAAAAAAAACTTACAGCTTATCAAAGATAATCATGAGGAAGTGTAGTCCATGTCTAATGGTCTAACCCCATTACCCCCATTTTGATTAAAATCGCAAACGGGTGTTTAATTAAATGCCTTTATTGATTCACAATCTGACACGTAAATCCTTATCTTTGTCTTCCAAGTATCTTAATCAACTCTTAATGCAATGTAAGTCCCTTAATTAACTTTCTCACCATTTAGATTTATTTTTCCTACTATTGTGAAACAAAGCAGGGGTGTATTGTATTTCCTCATACCGGGGTAAAGTTAGCTTGAAGTTCCAAAATGATTTTGGCACGCCTGTAGCATTTTCACGAAACTTCCTAGAGTTGCAAGAACACTTGCTTTGTGTATAAAGTACATTTTGAATGTTTTCACAGCCTTCACTTTTTATACCATTTTTTTGGACTACGCACGAATATTCTTACAGTATGTCCATATCTTCGCAAGGGAAACACAAAAGCCTCCAAACCAAATGCATTTTAAAGACCATGACTTGTGAAAATTTTCAGAACCCCTACATAAACGTATCAGTGAGCTAAATATTTTTTTCTGACATTGGGGGTTTTGATTGATGCACAATTACACACCATCTGAAACACTGGGACCTCTGTAAACATACATATATTCACAACGCGAGAAATACTGCTCAAAAGAGTTTCATGCAAAAAACCTGTATTTGACCATAAGAAGCAAAACAGCACAGTCTGTAATTACCCAGACTGTAAGCACGGGAATAAAGCTTTGTTTCATTTCTGAAACCTTTTCTTTATTTCATGTTTTCATTCAGCAGGAAAATTCTGATTCTTTACTCAACAGCTTATTAAAAACAGCAACCATGATATTCAAATCATGATGTCCATGATTTTTTAACACAGAAGACTGACAGCTTTGGGTTGTGAATCTTTTTTTCTCGTGATTTTATTGAATGTGGCACTTCAGCATTTAAACCACAGCACCCACAATGCTGCAAGTAAGTGTTTTACACACTAAGCAGGTCCTCTGACCTTTCCAAGCTTTGCTTTGGGTTATGAAACCTTTTTTAGTTTTTTTAAATTAGTTTTTCAATTTGGCACCATTAGACATCCAATATACTGGGATAGTGGGGTCTTTTTCATGACTCAATAGCTTTTAAGCACAACACCCACAGTGCTGCAACTATGTGTTTCACACACTAGACAGGTCCTCTGACCTTTCCCAGCTTTGTTTTGGGTTGTGAAACTGTTCTTTATTTTGTAATGTTTTTTTGAAGATAACACTACAGGTAATACACTGGAATAGGGGGGGTCTTCTTAATGACTCAATAGGTTTTTAGGCATAACATTCACAGTGCTGTAACCACATGTTTTACACACTAAAGCACAACACTAAAGTAAAGAAAGTGCATCTTTTCTCAGGATAACTCCCCTCAGAAAGAAGTAACAGTTTCAATATGTCCAAAAAACAGTATGTCTTCCATAAGTGTTAACTTTCAGAACCAATGTGAAACTGAAATAAAACACAGGAAACCCAGAGATTACTGGAAGCACTCCAATACAAGTGTATTGCTTGTCTAATAATGCAGTATTCCAAAAATTATAAAAAAAATACAGAAAAGATTCACAAACAAACACAAGGTTGTGAAAAGTCAGAGGGTCTGTCTAGAGTGTAAAACACTTGGTTGCAGCACTGTGAGTGTTGTGGTTTGAAAGCTATTGAGTAATGAACAGCAACCCCCTATTCCTATGTATTACCTGTCCAATGGTGCTATCTTCCAGAAATAATAAAACATTATGGAAGGGATTCACATTCGAAATCATAATTGTGAAAGATAAGAGGGCCTGCTTAGTGTGTAAAACACTTGCTTGCAGCATTTTGAATGTTGTGCTTGAAAAGCTATTGACTCAAGAATAGCATCCCCCTATCCCCATGTACTGCCTCTCTAATGGTGCCATATTGAAAAAATCATAAAAAAATAAGGAAAAGTTTCACAACCCAAAGCAAGGTTTTATATGGTGAAGGGGCTGTCTCGTGTGTAAAACACTTGGTTGCAGTGAATTGTGAATGTTATGCTTAAAAAGCTATTGAGTCATTAAGAAGACCCCCCTATTCCAGTGTATTACTTGTAGTGTTATCTTAAAAAAAGCATTACAAAATAAAGAACAGTTTCACAACTCAAAACAAAGGTGGGAAAGGTCAGAGGACCTGTCTAGTGTGTGAAACACATAGTTGCAGCTCTGTGGGTGTTGTTCTTAAAAAGCTATTGAGTCATGAAGAAGACCCCACTAACACAGTGTATTGCATGTCTAATGGTGCCATATTGAAAAAAAATCATTAAAAAAAAACTAAAAGAGGTTTCACAGCCCAAAGCAAGGCTTGGAAAGGTCAGAGGACCAGCTTAGTGTGTAAAACACCTGCAGCATTGTGGGTGCTGTGGCTTAAATACTATTGGCTTGTGAACAGCATACCCCTATCCCAGTGCATAGTGGCACATTAAATAAAAGCATGAGAAAAAGAGATTCACAACGCAAAGCTGTCTCAGTCTTCTGTGTAAAAAATCGGTTTGAACATCATGGGTGCTGTTTTTAATAAGCTGCTGAGTAAAGATTGTGAACTTTCCTGCTGTCAGCAGTATTGTGTATATAGTTGACCTTTAACATCACATTTTAATAGTTGCACAAACAATAAACATTCTACACTAATTAAAATTATTAATTAATCCCACAAATACAAGTTTACATAAATACATGGATATGCTCACACACCTCAATAAATAAAGCAACATAATGAAAAACTGCATTCTAAGTTCATATCAAATATCACTGTATCCAGCATATTGATGAAACAGCATCAAATACACAGTCTAACAAAATTGTGGGGTTATCAGTAGAAAAGTTAGTGTTAGACTTACCCAATAAGCATGAATTATCCCCTAATCCATCTCTCACTTCAATCACATCATTAATATATTCCAGGTCAATTTCTGAGAAATGCAGTTGAATGTTTTTGCCTTTTTCTGCATAAAGATACCACACACCTGGTAGAACAGAGAAGTGGGAGACTTTTGAAAAGCCCTAGGTTTGACTGAAATATTAAAATGCTGACCTTCTAGTACTTTACTGTGTAAAAAAATGAAAATCAAAAGAAAAATAAAGTGTGGATGTATAGATCCAGCCATTCAGAATGCTCAAAGCATAATGTACCATACTGCAAAGTACAAACCGATTTATACTGCAATAGCAACAGCAATAGCGGGAATGCTTAACATGGTGCATGTAAGCAACCTGGGGTTTCATGGGATATGCCTGGGTTTGAATCCTGGCCAATTCCCATCCCTGTGGGGAATAGCATTTGTCCTAAAATAAAAGCAAAAGTGGCACTGAGATCAAGAAGGATGAGTATAGAAAGAGAACAAGAATCAGAAACTATTAGAAGATCGTTAGTGACTTTGACCAGGGCAGTTTCTGTGCTGTGAAGTTGACGGAAGCCAGATTGGAGGGGTTCGAAAAGGTTATTTGTTATGAGGTGGTTATGTAACAGAAGTGTGACAGCACATTCTAGAATTTTAGCAAGAAAGGGTAATTTAGAGATGGGGCGAAAATTGTTAAGATTGTCGAGAGCCATGTTAGGCTTTTTTGGCACGGGGGTAGTGGCAGCTGTTTTGAGGACTATTGATACAACGCCAGTGCTCATGGAGAGAAGCTGGAGCGAAGGAAACCAGAGAAGTTGGATGAGGAGGGAGGAGGTATGGAAATTATATGCGTAGTGGAGAGAATGTGATGCTGGATATTGTCGATCTTAGAACTAAAGAAATCTAAGAATGTGTTGCAAGGTTTTGATGAGGCAGTCTTTTGATGGTGGAGAAAAGATGTCTGGGGTTGTTTTGGTGATTTTCCATGATGTGAGAGAAGTAGGTGGATCTAGCAGACTCTGTAGTAACCTTATATTCAGACAAGTAATCTCTCCAAGCCTGATAATGCACATATAGGCCAGAAAGACACGACCTATGCTCAAGTTTGAGAGATGCTGCCTTCATGGATCGCAGATGGTCGTTTCCAGGGAGCAGGGTGAGAGAAGGAGATGGTTAGAGTTTTTAAAGGAGCAAAGGTGTCAAGGGTAGATAAAAGAGCAGTGTCAAGTAACTGTATTTTGTCCTTTAAAGAGTCAGAGGAAGAGAAACAAGATAAGGAGGACAGAACAGAATTTGCAAACCTTGTTGAAATTTACAGAGCGTGTGTGGAAAGTGTTAGAAACAGGTAATTCCAGATTGAAAAGAAGAGCTAAGTGGTCAGAGAGGCCTAGATCAAGGGGTGAGCAGTGGGAGACAAAAGAGTCACTTGAAATAATTAAACCTAAGGTGTGTCCTTTGTTATGTGTAGGGGTACAAACAAACTGAGTAAGATCAAAACATCCCAATAGAGAAAGGCAGTCTTTAGACAGACTGGAAGACCTTGAATCGATGATAGGTAGAACAAATGATAGGTAGAACTTGTGGAGCATTAGGTATTAGTGAAATGATTGCTTCATCTGTTTACACCTTGCATGTTTATAGCAGCTTAATATGGAATATTAATATGTAATTATTAAAGTGCAATTTTAGTAGCTGAGCTTAAAAATAACAAGCATAACAACTCTGAATGTCATAAAAATATAAATTTAGTATTTCATTCACTTACTATGGTTATTTTGGAAAAGTTTGACATGTTTGTTCTGACTATATTCAATGTTCGTACTTTAGAAAAAGCTATACTATTTTAATCTTTTCTATGAATACTTGCTATTGTTATTATAATAAAATTGCACTTTCTAAAATCTATTTAATAGGGAATATTAATATGTTATCATGTAACTAAAGAAATACTAAAAAATATAAATTTTAGGATCTAAAAATAATGTATTTATATAGCTTTAGTAGTACCGTATTCCAATTTCATAAACATCTGCATCAGTTTGTTTGGTTCATTCACTTTTGATTATTTTGGAAATAATTTGAAAAGTCTGTTTCAGCTACTGTATGTTACTGAGTTATAGTTTAGTACAGTGGAGTTAAGTGTGTTTCTATCACCCAGAAGGCCCCATGTTTCATATTTAACAAATAAAGACTCCTACTCTAAAAATAAAATAGTAAATAATATGTACACTATGTTAACATTTGTATTACTTTTATATAGTACTTTTATCCGAGTCTCAGGAAGGAGACTCGGAGACCTCTTCAGAGAACATGTTAGGGCTGTGAAGATTAAAGATTTCTCCAAGCCTATTGTTTCTCATTCCATCTCTGACAGCCATGATCACAGTAATCTCTCCTGTGTTCTCAAAGCTGGTTTTCCTAACTCCAACATCAGAAAGACTATAGAAACTTGTAATATATTTATATTTATACTTGTAAAAATGTTCTAATTTAAATGCACTATAGAAATTATAAGTATTAATATTAATAATGTTCTTGTCTGAGGGGGCTTTAGAGCAGTTTACAATCATTTTTATTTTCTTTGTGATGAAACTTTGAAGTGCAATGACAAATACAACCAATTGGAAATAAAATGACATTGACAATTGTAAATATATTATGATGTTTATATTGACATTGTTATTAATTTTATATATCCCTTTGTCTGAGCCCTATATAGCTTATATATCTGGGCCCTGTCCCTCAAATAACAATGACTACAGTTGTTACTACAGGTACCACTGACGTCAGTTGTAATGAAATGCTTTGAGAGGATTATGGTATCCATGCTGTGCTCAGAAGTGAACACTGTACTGGATCCATATCAGTTTGCATTTAAACACTGGAGGGGCACCGATAATGCAATCACCAGCATTATGCATCATGTTCTAAAACACCTAGAGGACCCCAATGCCTATGCTCGGATGCTGTTTGTGGACTTTATACGCTGCAGGCCCATCTATTGATAAGTTGGTTGAAGCAAACGTCCGTTAGCCATAACATTACAAGATGGTACCATTCACCATTCATTTTTAACAAATCGCACACAGTATGTCAGGGTCAACAAAACTCTTTTCAAGTCACAATCTATTAGCAAAGGTGCCCCTCAGGGATGTGTGAGCTCTCCAGTTTTGTTCACACTTTATACAAATGATTGTACAAGCAGTAGTCAAAGCAACTTAATTTTCAAATTCTCAGATGATACAGTTGTCCTTGGCTTAATGCACCTCATCTGCATACATGTCAGAAATCCAAAGATTTCTGCAATGGTGTGACAACAATAGCCTAAAAACAATAGAAATAGTTTAAGATTCCAGAACAGTTGGTGATCACTCACAGGTAGTTATCCACAACGAACTTATCACTCAGATTGATTCATATAAGTACTTACAGATGCAACCATTCAAAATGCACGGTTCAAACCCGTACCGCAAGCAACTACCCACAGACCAACGCGGCATACTGCGGTATGTGATTGGCTGGCCAAAATGACCGACAGGGGCACACATGGTGTTCACGGTAGTGAAAAGATATATTCATTTAATCTCTTTACTGTGCACATTTTAATCCGCTTAGTATTGAATATTTATATGGAATTTTACAACTAAAGGGAAAGTTTAGTAGCTGAGCATAAAATGAAGAGAAGCATAATGCATCTGAAGGTCATAAACAATATTAATTTAGGAACATAAACATATTATGTAAACTGTATACTGCTGGTATTGGAAGTTTAAAGAAAAAAGGTTTTTACGTGCTCCTTCTGACCATATTATTGTACGTTTATATACTGTGAAAATCGATCGTTTTAACCTTTTCTGCGAATACGCTCGTTATCGGTATAACTATATCCATGTACTGTTGCACAAACAGTAGTATAAGAGTTGGTGGTGGGATAGCTTAAGTGGCTGATTTATAACCCTGAGGTCATGTGTTCAAACCCAACTATTGCCATGAGTTTTCTTTTAACAAATATACATTTCTTTAAAAAACTAAAATAGCAAATATTATTGGCATTATATTGACCTTTTTTATATTTCTACACATCACAACATGTTTGTACTGTATGTACAGAGCGGTACCGCAGGGCGTAGGGTGCAAATCCACAAGAGCCGAAAACGCTACATAATTAATACAGTTATATCTTCCATGTCGCATTAAGAAGTTTAAAAGGAGGGGACACTTTACACTTTAACTCTTCAGTTCACTGAGCAATTTCACCAGAGCCTCACAACATTGTCCAACAATACTCTTCTTGTGTCTAATTTTTAGTTTAGCAGGATTCAAGTAGGATTTCTGATGAAAGGCAGTGACGTCAAGCAAGTCCAAATCAAAGTTTAACCCATTCAGAGCCTACATTACATTTTAGCGTTTCATTCTGAGCTGAAGACCTTCACACCTGAAGAAGGCTTCACAGCTGAAATGTTGTGTTTTCTCTCTTCTCTTTTCAGCATGGAATAAACCTTTTACTTGTTCCTTTGCAGACTACGTGGGCTGAAGTAGCGTTGTAAAGTGATAACAGACGTGAGTAATGTCATCCCCATTAAACAATGTGCTTATTGTGCAAATCCTGCTAAACTAAAAGCATTCCAATGTATGTTGTGTTTGTACTTGCAAGAATAGCAATTACAAACATTAAAATCATACTTGCTTTATACTGTCCAACTGAGCAATCTTGCTTTTATAAAATATACTGACTTGTTTAATGTGTGTGATGCTGTAATAAAGTTTAAAATAATTAAAAGTCTAAACAGTATCAACTTGAATTCTTATCTCTATTAATATAACTATCAAGTGGTATTACATTGAAGAAAGATGTGAAGACGGGGATTGAATTTAATCCTTTCTGTAGGGGGTTTAGACTTCTAAGTCACAAGCTGGGGTTTATGGCAGGAAAGGGGGTTAACTGATAAGGATTGTAGATGCAAGCTAGGAACCCCCCTGGGTGTAATCTTAAACTGACCATTTGTCCAGAACATCGTAAACTGGCCAAATACCATGAACCCCCCTCTTTACCATCAGACCGAGTGATGTCAGAAACGGAGAAGAAGACACTATATAACCCAAAAGTTTGTAACAGTATGGGGAAC